ATTGCAAAGGGTGATGTTTCTGTGATTTCTTTCTCAGCCTCTTTATCATCTGTATATAGTAGGGCTACTGATTTTTGATATAGGTTACTATCGGTAGAATTCATTGTTTTAGAAAATAGACATGTCTAAAGCTACTCAAATGTGGAGTGCTTTTCCAGCCCACTTGGAGACCTGGGTCCAGTTCTAACTATTAAAATAAAAATAAAAAGCAAAGAAGAATAAATAAATAGAGGTGAAAATGCAGGGGTAGAAGGGTCTATGTCCAGGACCACTTGTACAGAAGTTGTCTTACAATGCTTGAATGTCTCCTTAGACTAAGCAGCAGATTGAACAAGATAACCTATAAGGCCCCTTTTCAAACAGTTCCACATGTTCCATGAAGAGGGAAGAGAGTGTATAAGGAAGGAAAAGAATTTCAGGGTTACATGAAATAGCAATGTGGACATGACACAGGAAACAACTTGATGGTATGGAGAATTCCATTCCAGCACATTTCCAAACACAGAATGCAACACGAAGACACCACTTATATCCATTCAGATGGATTCATCCAAGCTTGCACATTCCAAGTGGTGTCACTAAAATGGAGACTTCTTAAATACTTGATAAGTAATCTTTGACTTCAGTGTGAAATGGCATAAGAGGCATCGAGTAGAGGTGGGAAAGCAGCCTCGTGGCTTCATGCATCAAATTTCAACTTGGCTGAATCCCTGAATTGAAATGTGTCTTACCTTTTGCCTTGGATTCGGAGACTAAATAAGAGTCTATCAGACAATACCATACTTCCCCCTTTTGGCTGAAGAATTACCTTAAGGGGTTGTCACAACCTGACAGAATAACTATTGATCAAGCCACAATCACAAATGGAGTTCTTCCTTAGGGGATTGGTATCTACAAGGAAATCTGGAGGCTTGTCCCCAAAGTGTCTTTGGAGCTCACTGCGGGAGGTGCAGACCAAAGGTGAGTTTACACATCGGTGACTAAAGTTTCCTGTCACTGAGCATAAGAAGTCACTCATGAGCAGCGTCCCTAAACCACAGCTACAGGATGTGGGCACAAGCCCTTGTATAATTGTTGGCCAAAAGCCAGGGAGCATTCATCCCTGTGCAAATACTTGGGCTTTTGTGTGTGTGTGTGTGTGTGTGTGTGTGTGTTGTTGTTCTTAACCTTTGAAAACCACAGGCATTAGCCTCTTTCTTTCTTCCCGTTGGCATAAGTCATCTCCTTTTCTTCAACGTGGTCTCTTGTGTGTAAAGAATTTCTAAGGAGCTTTTAAGCCTAAATTTAATACTTTTGCCCTCTCTCTGCTGCCCTACAAAATGCCAGGCAGAAGTAAAGCAACCTCACAAAACATCTGCTGGCTTCCGCAGCTTTGTTTGGGCGTTTTGATCAGATAGGAAGTCAGAGTGTTCCATGAGTGACCTTAGCCTTTAAGAAAATAAAGGTGATTTCTGGAAATCCCCCCTAAACAACTGTGGCCTATTGTTTTCTCACTTTAGAATTAACTCAGCTGTGTGACACAAGGATCACAGTGGAATCATCTCTGGACAGAGCAGTGGATCAAAAATGGGAACTGGAAAATTTAGTCCAGTCCCAATGTTGCCAAGAATTTACTATCTTTTTATAGCATTTTTTCTAGTTTCTATGCCCGTGCTTCATGTTCTGTGAAATGAAACCATTGGTTTGCCAGGTTTCTAGCCTTCCTTAGCCCCAGAGCTCTATAAAGTGGCTCCTTGAGTAATTTTTCAACAAAGGGACCATGAAACTGGTAAAGGCAAATGATCTGGAAGCAGCCAACACATAAGCTAGTTCCTTGGTTTTTTGTTTCGGTGTTAAAGGATGGGTACAAGCTCAGGCACCAAAGGGTCCAACTGACCCCTGAAAAGTCAGTCATGTCAACAGTCACTAACCCTTCCTCATAAACTAAGAAATGTATCAGCCTTACTCCTGTTCCCAAATGCCCTCACAATGGCCTGGACACTTCAACTACCCTTCACCAGTCAGCATGTTTTTAAATGAAAGAAGCAGCAGGTGGACACAGCTTGTTCTGAGTCAATAGAAGGAGATTTTTCTGAGGCACATTAGAAGACAATAAGGGCTCTACCAAAGGGAATTCAAACAGATTCCAAAGGAAGCCTTATTACAAATTCTGATTGTGAAAAACTGGAAGAAACAAGGATCAGGGGTAAAGACCACCAAGCACCATTGGTTTGTAGAGATGTTTTAGTTTTAAGGTTCTTAAATCCCATCCAGTTTCAAATTAGATTGATGATTCTCATGTAGGAATGTTAGTCAGAATTTCAGATGAGAGAGTGATGACAAGAAATAGCCAAGGTATAGATGTGACTCCTCTGGTTTGTGGAACATAAGGACAAATAACCCAGTGAGAATGCATCAAAAAATAGCAGCTTCATGTGACAAAGAAATTACTCCCTTTGGGAACTGAATTGAGTTATCCTGGATTCTGTCCCCATGGTCTTCAGCAGAAATCACTTTATATTGGCAGGAGCTCAGTGTTTTCTGTGTCAATGAGAGGGTTTGACATCATGTCACTGAGGCTCCACATCTGAAAAATAAGCATAAACTGTCCCCAGTTTGAATATTAGAAAAGTAAGCATTAGGAGGGTTAAGGTACTTTTCTGGGAACTCACAGGACTGACTCAGTTCTTTCCAAAACAGTTATCTAATTACCTGCATATTTAGCAACAATTACTTATAGAATAACAGGTCCACGGCCTTAAAGGACAGAATCAACTTTTAAGATATTGTACTATACGATGCCATTCCTAGTGCACGTAGTTTCTAGTCATCTTCATATCAAGTGAGTTGGGGCTCCATTTGTTAAGAAGTAGCCCTTCAATTTTTGGATATTCAGCACAGAGAAGATGTTCTGTCTTACCTTGAAATGCTACTCAAATTTCTGAGTCCTCTGACTTAGTCAATAGCCCTGTTTTGTAGAATCCATTTATTAACTAGTCAACTACTTTGTCCAAATGTTTTTACAAGAGGTTGGCAGGGAAGCTCTGTGCTCACATTTCACCATAGGCAACACAGATACCAGATCTCAGCATTAAATATTCTGCCCTCCTCTCTTCCATTTTGTGTAGCTTCAGCTAAGGATGCTACACTGTGTCTCGGAGTTTTCCAAAAGAAACAGACACACACAGGGACATCTATCATCAGGAAAATCCTTAAATGGTAACTCAAGAGAATAAGCTGGGCATTTTAGAGGTTTCTGCCAGTAAATGCCACTACCTGGAGGCATATGGGAATTTTCAGACAACAATATTAAAATAATTTGCCAATAATGCCGGCTTTAGAAGCACTGCCAAAGCAATTGAATGACTTTTCATTCCACTACTGTTGACAGGACAGCTAAGGATTTCAACATTTCCTCTCACCGTCTCAATAGAAGTTCCTTGCCTTAGGGACTTGAACAATATTTGCCATCATGGGGGAAGAGGTAGGTGTGACACACAAAGAGGGATGAAGGAAGGAACAAAATAGTAATGGAAGTAAACAAAATAAAATAAGGGCTATTCAAGTACTGGTTTTGAATGTGTGTACCAATTTGATAACTGCCTGTTCCCAGGTCTTAGAATCTGAGGAAGAAAGCTTTCTAAAAAAAAGAAACAGGGTAAAGTAAACTTCAGAGGAGCCAAGAGGTAAAATAGCTAGAACTTTCAACCTTACCATCAAGGCAAGTATCTCAACTTTGGGTCTCAGGAGAAGCAAAAAGCTTTCTGTAATAATGTTTCCAGTAACCAGCATTCAGAGCGTCTAAGCTAATGTAAGATTTAAAATTCTAAAGAGGAAGAAACAAAAAGAAATGAAATACTTTTCAGGGTTGCTCAAAGTCAGAGCAACAGGAGGACATAAGAAGAAATACAAGGAAAAATGGATGGGTATGAAATGATATAGACTGTGTTAGGAAACCATGCTCCCAAAACCCTGTGAGATCCTGAGCCTAATAAAGCAGAAAGCCAGTCCCATCCCCACTGTAACCACAGGATTCTTATTTTTTCTGTGCCATATACAGACACTCACAAAAGATTTCACTAGAAGAGAATATGTTGTTAAAAAGTACTTGAAAACATACTGCAAAATAGAATGGGCTATTAGCCAGTATTGACCAACTGTAGAGTTCTATGGACAAATTGTGCTCTAGGAACTGACAGTAAGGTGAATGAGTAATTGAAGAGCCTTAAGAGCAGGGAACCTAATTAACAGACCATTTTAACAATTGAAGACTTGGCCCAACACCACCAGGGAAAGATGGAATTGAGAAGGAACCTGTGGGTGATTTTTTATTTTTTTCTTTTCAATGCTAAGAATAAAATTCAAGACTTTGTACAACTTGGGCAAGCTCTATGCTAATGAGTTATACCTCTAGTCTTAGAAGAATGTATTTTAAGCTTGGATACAATGCTATGCCACATAGCCGTGTATTAGTATAATGGGATGCATTTTGCTTAGAATTCAAATTCATTGAAACTGGTAGATTTCAGGGATGGATTATGAAAAGTAGTACAGAGAAATCTGAATTTGGAAAATGCTTAATGCAAGGGAGCATTGGAAGGACTGATATAGGAATGACTGGAAGACATAAGGCAGAGCCTCATCTTGGGATAAATATCAGAGATGACACTAGGGACTAAAGTGCCCTCATAAATGGCAGATAGAATAACAGAGCCCTGACATGTTAACAAGAGTAAAACAGGGTTCAGGGCATGAAAACTAAATGCTGAAAGTACCTATGCTGTGAGGGACAGAAAGGCAAAAGTTTAAAGTTTAGCAAATTTAAATTTAAAGTTGCAACATGGATTCTGTCCAGAGATTTTAAATTTAGGAACTCATTAGAAAACATTACATAAACTCAGAAGTACTTAGTCTGATTTTACAGAAATTTGATTTCTCTCATATAAGAACTCAAATGTCTACCAGTCTAATCAAGATTTTAGACATCTTAAAACACTAATAAGTCAGTCTTTTAAACATCATTTGAAAGTAACTATTGTAATTTAAAAAGAAAGTACTGCATTTAAACACATCAGTTATCTACAGATGATGGACTTTGTAACAAAGGGTCTCAAAAGCCAATACCCCCACGAGCCAGGGAATAGCCAAGTTTGTTTCGGTTTCCAATGAATGACATGAGCCCAGTGTAGGTCTCAATCAGAATAGGCTGGGTTAACACCATCAGTTCCTCTCCTCTTCCAGATCCAGTAGAATTCTTGTGAGCACTCTTGATAGCTGGAACAAGCTTCGATGTGAACCCAGACAACTGAAGAACAAAAACAAGAGAGAGAGAGTTAGTGACTCCAGGAAGCTCCTGAACATCACCACGATCCAGTCAGTCTGGGTGGGTAGACCACCCTGCTGTGGGGCAGCAACTCCTGCTTCTTAAACATGAATGACTCCTCAGAAATGTTGGAATTGCTTTTGTTTAACCTTTACTAGTACTCAGCCAAGAAAAAATACACACAGTAAAATTATCTACCTTATTTGTTTTTCATTATTCATAACTTGTACAACATTCAGGAATCAACTTAACCAATATTTGACCATAGTCTACTATAAATTAGATACTTGTTGGACACTGCTGAATGTCAAAGGCCAAATATGAACAACTGCTGCCCTTGAAGACAATTGACTATGGTGTAGTTGACAAAATGCACCTGCTGTCATAATGAAAAGTTCATTGTAACAGTCAGGAAGAGACAAATGCCTGTGAAGAATGATGGCAAAAGGAGATCCTCAGGCAATCTTGAAAGATTAGCAAGATTCCCGTGGGTAGAACTGAGGTTCAGCAACTCAGAAAAGGGCAAGAAACTGGTGCTATGTCTTCCCCCCTCTACCTCCTTCCTGGCATAGAAATCCTGAGAAAATATCCATGCCTCTCATTACTACAAAGGTACAGATAGAAAATACCAAATCCCATAATTTCAAACCATCTTTCTTGAGTGGCAACATGGAACTTCTGTTACTGGTTTTCTTTTCTTTCTTTCTTTCTTTCTTTCTTTCTTTTTTTTTGAGAACTACATATACGAATACTGCATCTACATCACTCCTGCCCCCCCTAGTCCCCAAACTCCTCTCTTGTTTCCTCTTTCCTCCCTAATTCATGACCTATTCTTTAATTACTATTGTTACACACACATGCACGTATGTGTACATATATACATAAGCTATTTATCGAGTCCACCTAGCACTGTGGCACTGTGTGTATGTATACATATACATGGCTGACTATTTGGCATTAGACAACCTATGTGGGAACTTGTCCCTGTAGGAAACTGAGTTTCTCTCTCTCTCTCTCTCTCTCTCTCTCTCTCTCTCTCTCTCTCTCTCTCTCTCTCTCTCTCTCTCTCTCTCTGTGTGTGTGTGTGTGTGTGTGTGTGTGTGTGTGTGTAGTTTTCAGAACATAGAGTTAGAGTTGATAGGATAAGAAAGTCTGAATGAGTGGGAATCTTGTGGGTAGAAAAGAAACTTCTGTGTTTTCTCTGTACACTTTCCATTATCCCCAGTTACAGGGTCCGTACAAAGCAACTGATAATTCCAGAAAAAATGGGCATGGATGCCACACATTTTGGCCAGCATTGTAACTTGCCAACATCTTCAGTATTGGACGCTGATTTGGTCTTCATCCCAGGGTGCCTCCCTTTCCACAGAGAAAGGTTGAAACCTGTGGCCCCAAGGCTAGGAAAACCTGCCGAGCTAAGGAATGTGGGCCTGCAGGCATGAAACCTGGTCTCTTTGCCCAGTATAAACAGGAAGCAAGTGATGGTTGTACTGCAGAAAACTGAGACTCTAGGCGGGAGCCGCTGGCAGACAACACCTGAAGCAACCAGGGGCCCAGGCACTCAGCTGGTAAATAATGGCTGTAAAGTCAAGAATACTGCACCTCCTCCTCCATGAGCACTACTGTGCATGCTTCACCCGAACCAACGCACGGCCCCTGTGTAACTGGAGTTGTTAAAACTTGACCCTCTGTTTTTGAGACAGAAATAAAAGCGGGAGACAGAGGTGGGTGTATAAAAGCTTTTAGACAAAAGTATGTGACTGGTGGCATTCATATCAGATGACACAGCGTTCCTGTCACATAGATTGAGTTCAGGTGCTTGAAATGCTCAAGAGCCAGCTTGGGGACATGGCCTTTTGTCTGCCACTCCTTTAAGGAGCAGCTTGTCTCTGTAAGCATGCCTGCCTCCTTTGAGAGTGTTCCAGACATGGCTGGGAATGAAGTGTATCCAATGAAACGCAGTGCGTTGAGTTTGAAATAGTGTCAATATTTTCTTTCCTGCACTTAGATTCTGAGACCACAGGGGATTCTCAAGAAATGACGCTTACAATGAGAGCTGAAAAAGTGTTTAGTAGTCCAGTTTGACAAACTCTAACCTCTGAGAAGGCATTATGTTAATACAGATGGTATTGGTAAATGAAAACGTTGAGATAATTGTGATTTACCTTTTAGGAGACTGTGATTTCTTGATGATGGTGATGATAATGATGATAAAAGAGCTAATATTTATTGTTTGCAAGAAACAAACTACTTGATGGTTTTTGCAATGATTCTGAATACCAGTCTTATCTCACTGCATGCCCTGGCCCCCACTGCTATAGCATTCTTTCTCTCACACTTGTTTTACCTATAAATTTGATATTATCAGTATACTCATTTTTAGGGAAAAAGAATATGAAACTCAAGAAGGCTTAATAATTCACCCAAGGGCACACAGCTGGTGAGTACCTTGTTTGCAACTTAAAGTTTGTCTAATCCCAGTACTTCAGGCTACATATATCATGAAACTGTGTGTTCTGTAGTTCGGTAAGTCTTTTTTAATGAGATGGGGTCTTGGTACATAGCCAACGCTGGTCTTGAGCTCTTCATGCTCCTACCCTGTGTCTCCTGAGTATTGGGACTGCAGATATGTACCACCCCACATTTTAAAAGGAAGAGGCTTTGGATTGCTAAAGGGTATTTAGCTATGTCTCCTTCTGGTTGCCCCAAAATTCTAGAGCTAAGGCAAGATAAGACATTTCAAGCAAAGAAAACATGATGAAAAGCTACAAATGACAAAGCTGTATGAAATATTCTTAGATAATGAGTAAGAATATGTGGAATTTAAAGTGGTAAGTGTGAGTGGGTGTGTACGTGCGTGTGTGGGGGGGGTAGGTGGGTGTGTGTGTGTGTTGTCAGAGGGGAAGGTTAGAGGGGGATAGGATGCGAACAGACATTAGAATGAGTGGAAGCTTTTGTGTAGTGAAATCCTACAGGTGCCTGAGGGACAGGAGTTACAAAGTATGTTGTATACTTAAGCTGCAAAAAAATTCTCTCCCATAGTGAAACTACACTTGACTACCAAATAGTAACAGCCTTGTGACAGCTTACTATGTAAAGGCCACACTTGCAACTCTGCCTAGAAAACTTGTTAATATATTTAAATGGAGATATCAGTGAAATGCAACAGAAGAAAAGATATTATTTAAATTTAGATAGTGTCAGAATCTCTGCAACTGGAGTAACAGATGGTTGTGAGTCACCCCAGGTCCTCTGCAAGATCAGCAAGTATTTCTAACTGTTCCCGTCCCAGAAGAAAAGAACATTTTTCATTGGCTATGTGGGGAGGCATTATGCAAGAGGGAGTCTTGAACTTGGTTTTGAAAGATGAGAGGAAAATGGGGACTAGAAAACTTTTTGGATTGAATTGTCAACTGTGCAAGTTAGGTAGAAGTTCAATGGTTTTCATTAATACATCTCTTTTTAAAGTCAAATCTGATTCTAAACGAAGTATAATGAGAGGAATAAAAATATTCCATGGGTTTGAGTGAAGGGATTGGAGCAGATTACCTGCTTGGCTTGCATTTTCTTTTACTCCAGCCCAAAATTACGGATTAAACCAACATTATTAATACTTGCTTTTCACAAGAGTTATTTGTCACAGACATATAAGTACTTGTCCTTCTAGCCACATGAAAATGTAGTTCTCACCTCTCATCTTTTTGGAATGGATGGAGTCTTTTGCAGAGACTCACAACTGGCCAAATGGAAAGATGCCCAACCCCAGTTCATATATTTGCAACACAACCCACACACCTAGGCTTCAGTGAACACTGACGAACAGGAGTAGAGAGTCTTTAAGAGCCAATTGACCAGGATGCTTGGTTCTAGCTAGTGTCCTTTAGACATGATAGGAAATGTGCATGCCTGAATTTTCAACAATTTGGCTTCCTTAACAAGACCTGCATAATGTTATTGCTAGATAGGGGGATATTCCAAAGGTCCTCCCCTTGAAGAGCTACAAGTGGTCAATGGCTGCACAGAGAGAGAGAGAGAGAGAGAGAGAGAGAGAGAGAGAGAGAGAGAGAGAGAGAGAGAGAGAGAGAAAGAGAGAGAGAGCATCACACGTACACATGCAAAGAAGTTCTTTGGTTTTATACCCAGTTCGGTGAAGATTAGTAACTGTTAAGATGTGGATGTATGGTTCATTTAATATTATGGTTCATTTTCTTAATCACTGTGCTTAGTGCCTTGACTTTTACAAAGATGATATTTATTCCTATCTTAGATGTTTTGTTAGTTGATTTACAAGACAATATCACTCATACTATAAGCAATAAAGATAAAGTGATGTAATATGTGAGATTATATTTTGTGTGCTGTGCAAGTACGTTAAATGTGAAATACTCTAGTATCTTACATTTTCACAGTTGTGTATTGTGAGTAGTACAGAGCATGACCCATGTGCAGATTTGACAAGATTTCAAAGTGGACAAGGAATGTGGACTTCTAGAAAGAATCCATTAGAGCTCCGTGTTTGTGGGACATGGAATGTCTTACGATGTCTACATTTATGGTTATCACCATTCAAATTAATGTAATCACCATCATTTTCTGAATCATATCAGTCATGTGTCTTTATTAACTCCATGCTGAGTAATTCAAAATTTCCTCACTCTCTACTATTACTTCAACTTACTTGGGCTCTTATATTTATTATCTAAGTCATTACGTATTCATATTTTGGAACTATCTAAAGTTACACACCAGCTAAACTACTCTTACTCTGTGGACATTATATACATCTTTACCGACCTCCATTCTTTTTCACTGGAAATAAACTTCTGTTTAGTCAGTTGGTTTCCATTTTTAAATCTTTGCATATTTGCTTGTTGCTTCTGTCAAACATTGCCTTGCATGTGGCTCAAATATTATTTCATTATGTTTGTATCCTTAGCAACAATTATACCTGTATTCTGTGGATGTCAGAAAATGTTCAGTGAATGTAGAAATTATAAGAGAAATACTCTGGGAAAGAATGAGTTTGAATTTTTTAATAATAGATTATTTTATTAGCTTGTAAGTAATTTCAACATTTTGACTATATGTAATCAACTTCATAGTTTCTCTTCCCTGTGCCACAATGTTTGCAAAATCTAGTTGAATTGCTTCCTGACTTTGATTTAGTTATGCATTTCTCCTATTTTCATCTATTTTATTAGTAAGAGAAAATTGAAAAAATATCTCAACTCTCTAAAAAGCTCATTCCATGAAAATATTCAAATAAGTCATATTCAAGATTCACCTAAGAAGTGACCCTATTCAAATCTCCTATTCCATGTTAGTATAGCAAAGCCTTAATCAGATTCAGTCCTGGAAGAAGCCCTACTGACATATACTATCATAACATACAAACCAACAACAAAAAGAAGCTAAGACTTGGGGACCTAGGTCAAAGACTTACTGGCATCCCAGATGGACCATTTGCTTTCCTAATGATGAGTTTCCTTTGGGATGATCTTTGAATAAGAATTGGCATTAGCAAATGAAAGTTCCAGGCTAGTACCAGGAATGGAAAAGAAAGAAGAAAGAAAGAAAGAAAGAAAGAAAGAAAGAAAGAAAGAAAGAAAGGAAGCAAGTAAAGAAGGAAAGAAAAAGAGAGACAGACCTTAGACTAATAATATAAAAAGAAATGATCTTGCAATGATCTCTCTAACCATGATCTAAACTCATCCCTCTAGATTGTGCCCTATGAAATGTCCTCTTTGATCATTGTCATTCTCATTCCTTGAAGAAACCTCCCTCTCTGCTCCATAAGAAATTCTGTCAATCCTCTATACATTCATAAAAGAAACAAAGAAAAAAAGCCTTAAAATAAACACATTGAACAGGGCCATAAAGTGATATGATTGATTAAAAATCAACCAACTAACATTCATTATATTTTATAGGCATGTATATGTTTCATACACACACATGTACACATACACACATAAACACACATGTACTCATTGGGAGTTCTAGTGCTAAACACAGCGCTCTAGACTAGCAGCTACATTCATGAATACTTAGGCAATGATTTAAACTCCCTTCAATATTTCACCTTTCATGTTCGTAGAAAAAATTATTTGATTGCATCTGTATGTAGAAGACTAAAACAAAGTACTATCAAGCCATCGCATTTCCTGTAGCCCATAGAACTTAGTCCTTAATCATTCATTGTGAACTTCTTCCAGGAAAGGCCATTCAGAAATAAGTACCTAGTGCATCCGGTAGGTACAAGAAACAAGAGAAGGCTTGTCCCAGGGAGTGACATGTGTAATAACTAAGTCAGTTAAGTGTTTGTATTGGCTAATAGTGAAGTTCAATTATTAACACAAAAATTTATAACATTTTAATGATTAAAAACAGTTTTCTTCTAAAAAAAGGAAATTCCCATGAGAAAGTTCATTATTATATATTTCAGTCTGGATTAACAAGTATCTTAATAAATGTCTTCCATTGCAACTAATAATTACAATGAAAAACAGGAGCTTGGGGAGGGTGTAGGTTGAAGAGAACAGAAAGTATGAGGGAGGCAGGTGTGTTTTTTTCTCATAAGGACTTTTGAACAGTATGGGGCTGCTATCACATCTGAAGACGGACACTTTAGTTCAATACACATTCCCCCTCCATCTCTCAACTCCCTGCGCAAGTCTGTTCTTATCGCATGGCTTAGTGGAAGTGTTTTGGTGCTGGTCTTGGTTTTCACTTTGTTTTGTTTCGTTGGCTTTAGGTGGTAAAGCATCAGTCTAAGAGCTGCTGTTGATGGCTTGGTTGGGGGATTGTGAAATGGGTATCACATGAAGTGAAGCAACATGATCCCTGAACTAATTCAGTGCCTGCAATAGTTGAAGTCAGAGACAACCATGAAACTGTGACCTCTGAGGAGACATGCATGAATTCCAAGAGGATCACCAACTTTTCCTGGGAATAGAAGGTAGTAAAGCCAATTTATATGTCCACTAGGGGGAATTAAGACCCCATCTAGCTTCTGATCACAGACAGCTTGCTTCAAGGGCACTTAACAATGTACAGTTATTTATTTACACCATACAAATTTACTTGCACAAATAGGTATGGTTACATTAATGTAAGAGTTTTTATGTGCCATCAACAGAACTCCAGAAAATAACTGCCAAGTTTTTAATTTATACTAAATGAGTTACAATATTTTAAAGTAAAATACAGATGTCAGTGTAAACACTCAAAGAGGAAAGAAAAGACAAGCAACTCTCAGTCTATGTGTACACACTCATGTGTGTATTTAGTTTTGTGACAATAGCTTGATTTTTCACCAAATTTTTAACTCCAACTGGTTTACTTTCTAACTATGTAAGGTGTCCCTGGACTTTAGTATTTCATCTACATACAGATAGATTAACCCAAATTAAGTTATAGGAAATCACATTAGTCATTTGAATTATAATATTTTAAATGTTGAGCTTGAATGCTTTCTTGATGGGTGGTTGCTTTTAGGTCAACAATGATTTAATGTTTTAAGATGTATTCACTATTTAAGGTTGTTTACATTCATAAAGAGTTGTCCCTCTGTGGGCTGCCAGAAGCAATGAGAGACTACCACAAAGAATTTTCCCCGTCCCCAAAGAGTTAAATGTCTGCCTGAAAGTATGAGAAATGGAGGCATATAAAGAAACAACCATGACTTTGTCATGTATGGAGCACTTAGACATGCTATCCATTTGAGTGGATAACAGTCCAGTGAGATTTGAGTATCCACCACAGTCACTCTGGAGATGAGACTACTAACACCATCCCATGGAAAGAAATGACTTTATATTGTATGACCACAGAGCCAGTATGACACAACATGATTCACACTATTTCATATTTCTTCCCAGAATAAGACAACTAAGATGAATCTATATGGAGAACATTACATGCGCCCGCTTGCAGTAAATATAGCTAGCCACACATAAATACTGTAATTTGTTATAATATTCTATTAAAAGATGATATCAAGAGGGAAGGGGCACATTATGGTTACATAAATATATGACAACTATGAAATAGCTATATTCATCACATAAGTGTCTAAAGAGGCATTCAATATTCATCTACATACCTTCTGGCCATAACAGTTTTTAAGACAAAACTTGTGCTAGAAGCACACAGCCTTACCAAAAGAGCTAATATGGGACAAGGTACCACCTACCTTGCAAATCTCAAGGAACTTCTCACTGGTGTATTTCATAGGGTGCTCAGTGAAGGTCGCATAGGGAACCTCAGTAGACCACGGGTTCCAGCGTGACAATAGAGACTGTTCCACTGTGCTCCCCCAGCAAATCCTAAGGCCTTCTCCTGGTCTCCTAAAGGAAGGAGATTTTTATTAGATTGGACATTTCTGTTAGATATGTTGCAGAATATTGAATCACATAGTATGAAAGGTGCCTTCTGATTCATTTAATAGAGTTAAATGGTCAATATCTAGCCAGAAGAGAATAGGTGGGAATTCCGAGGAAATGGAGGAACTCAGGATGAAGCTAGACCCCAGTGAGATGTGAAGCAAGTCAGACATCCAGAGTGAGAGAGAGGTAAAAACCATGTGGCAGAATGCAGATTAATAGAAACAGGTTAATGTAAGTTATAAGAGCTAGTCAGGAACAAGCTTCAGCCAAAGACCAAGATGTCATTATTTGGGGGCTGGTAGCTGACAAGAAAGTTAGACTATATTGATAAATAAAACAAGAAAAATGCAGCAAGTGACTGTAACTCTCCACTTAGCCAGTCTATATCCACTGAGGTGAGTAGCTTACTTCAAATCAGACTGTTAAGGAATGTAGGAAGTGAAAGAAAGGGCTTGTCCTCAAACAGGGTAGGTGCAAAACGTGGAGAAGCCATATGTAAAGTGACCCTGGTGCTCAGGCCAATAGTCACAGCTGGAAATACAGGTGCTGGCCTCATTGTGACATTCTGATGACAGAAGAAGGATGGGAAACAGTTTCAGTGACAGAGGAGATGACACAATGAGAAGTCATCATTTATTTACACAGAGCAGTGAACAGAAGAGAACAATGATGACCTTTGCGAAAGACGAAAACCATTGAAAATGCTCAGATTCCTAAGTCAGTGACTCCTCTTCTGTGTCTCCTGGTCCTCTGTTCCCTGAACAGAGCTTACCTGATGAAGCTGCAGCAGGAGACACACCAATGTTAATAGAGACTCTACAGGCTTCTCTCCCTAAGCTCTGTCCTGACTGCTAATGTGCAGAAGGAAGGCATGGTCTGACAACTCAAGTCTGGTCGCCCATTAAATACAAAGACAAAGCAAGGGAAAGTCAAAAAGGAATAGCAGGCAGGAAGTCATGGCCTAAGATGTGGCTGCACTGAATAGAACTGGCATGCGTCCTGCATCTTCTTTTCAATGTGTCCATTGGAATTCAGGGTTTGTGGTTTCAGCAGGCTCTAGGTGCAGAAAGGCACCTGGAGGTTAAGCCAAACTCAGGTGCTCTGCACTCAACCAGCTTCAGAACCAAGGTGGGTGAAATTCTAAGTGGCTCCATGAAGCAACCCTCTCAGTTCCTTTCTTCTAGAAATTCAATCCCAGGATTTTGAGAATGAAAACCCAGAGCTTAATTGTGGTGCCTTCCCAAAGCTGTCACTTCCTGTATTAAGGGAAGATTCCTTTGGGAATATAGTGTGGTTTCTGAATGTTTATCCATAAAGAAATGAGTGTAAACAGTCTCGTACATGCTCACATAGCCCCGCCTCTCAGGCTGATGCTAAGCTGTGTACGAGAGAGAGAGAGAGAGAGAGAGAGAGAGAGAGAGAGAGAGAGAGAGAGAGAGGAATACTGCCCAATTCTCAGATATTTGGTGATTGTGTTTGAAAGCCGAAACTCAAAGTGTGTGTGTGTGTGCGTGTGTGCGTGCGTGTGTGTGTGTGTGTGTGTGTGTGTGTGTGTGTGTGTGTGTGTGTGTTTCATTTTGGTTTAATCCTTTGCCCAAAAAGTATGAGAAAGGAAGAAAGAAAGAAAGAAAGAAAGAAAGGAAGGAAGGAAGGAAGGAAGGAAGGAAGGAAGGAAGGAAGGAAGGAAGGAAAGAAAGAAAGGAAGGAAAGAAAGGGAAAGAAAGATAAAATCTGATGCAAGCCTCTGAAATTCCCTTTCCAAGCTCTTCCTTTTCAGATGTTGTATTGATTCTGGTCATACCCTTGTGTTTTTCTGTTTCTTTTTTTTTACCCTGGCAATAAATCCCAAACTTCATGAATGCATACTTGCTCATTTATGAAGCACTGTGGCTTGAGCCAATTAAAACAACTTTCACAATGGAATATTATTTACTGCTTTGTATGTCAACTTCTCCTCTAAGTACAGTTTTGTTTATCCAAAAGGGATGAAAAAAATCTCTCAATATAGTTTCCCTAATAAGTACCCTTGTTTTTTTTCTTTAAGGAGGCCTTAAATGAAAGTCAAGCATAAAACTCAAGAAGGATATTATTGTTAAATATCTGATCATTTTGACCATGACAATAGCCTTTTCCAAGACATTAGGAGTTGTTATAAAGTAGGGAAGAAAATAGAAAACTGAGTATCCACTCCATGGGTGTCATTTAAGTGATGCTTGCCAGGCCCTGTAGCACAGGACAATGATAAAAGCTTTTAACCTGTTTCTCTTCTGGCACATGTTTTTGGGATAACTGTGGTGACTAAACACACCTTTATGACCAGAAATATTTCATGCTACAGTAACTTATGCTCACAGAGAGAATACTGCAACTTAATAAAATAGAGAACAAAGAGCAAAGAACAAGTTGTTAATAGTCCTGTATCAGTCAGGATTTTGACTCAATACAGTATGATTACAGACAAATCAGATTTCCCTTCCTGAATCTCAATATAATTTGCAATCTGACTTATTTCATCTACTGAACCTTCAGAATATGTTTGTACATACAATAAAAATTGTATGACCTTCACATCCATTCTTTAGTCACTGGGGGTTTGTGACGTTTACTTATGTCAGTACTGGTTGTAATATAAAAACTATGGTCATGTCACACAAATCAGGTAGTTCACGACCACCTGTAACCACAGCTCCAAAATATCTGGTGTCCTCTTCCAGTAACCCATCCCCTGACACATGTACATACATGCATACAGATATACCCATACATAAATAAAAGAAATCTTTCTTTGAAGAATAGTTGAAAAAATGTTTTGTGTGCTATATATGGCATTATCCAATTAACACACATTCAAAGCTTGATACATTTTTTATATTTTTCTATTTTATTTACTCTAGACAATAGTGTGTTTTGAGCTCACTTGATAGAGGTAATTATAGGAAACAAAGAACAGACTTAATCAGGGCATCAAGTCAAGAACTGTTAGTGAATTGGAACAAACAGGATGGAGCAATCCTCAGCACACAGGAAGTCTCATGAGGCTGTGCCTGTCAAAGCCATCCACCTCTTTCTTCCACCCAACTGTGCCCAGGAATACTGTGCTGTGCCTGCTTTTCAAGTCTTAGTTTAGTGTCTATGATTCCAGGAACTTAGGTTCTCCAGACCAACCTCCCCATGGATAGCTTAAACCAGCTTTCAATTCTGTCTTCTTTAGATGAAAATAACATAGCTCCTTTAGCTGTTCTAGCAGGTTGAGAATGTCTCCAGGCAACTCAGAAGCTGTTGCCTAACCTGTACCTACATTCTGTCTTCAATATCACCACTTACTGAGAACATTCTCTAAGTAAAGTGCAATTGGAGGTAAAGAGGGAACCCAGACCCCATGTTCCAGGAGAAAATTAGATGATCTCTTGAGCCGGCTTGGCCACCATTTGATCTTTCCAGACCAACACAAACAAATAGAAACCTGGCAGAAGAGAAAGATTCTCATTACAACTTTCTCCTCCCTGGGTCTGGCCTGCATTTTCATAGTTCTAGAAGTAAGAAAGGCAATGTGGTCTTTGTTCCTGGAAAACTTCAGAGTCACACAGGATAGGCCAAAACAGAGCAATAGCTCCATGAGAAAGCAATTCTCTCCACGAGAGAACTTGGTGAAATGTTTGTGATGATCAATTTTAGGACTCTAAACTTCTTAAGTTAGAAGGAACTTTCTGGGATGGTTTCTACATCATACTCTCTGTCTCTGTCTCTGTGTGTGTGTCATACATACACACACCCAAACACTCCCATGTCTCATACACACATAACACACTCACATACATACACTCACATATACACATACATACACTCTCTCTCTCTCTCTCTCTCTCTCTCTCTCACACACACACACACACGTGCAAACACCCTAAGAACTAGAATTTTCAAAGGCCTCAGGTCTTTTTAGAGCCATGTTAATTATCTGTTCTACTCAGTGACTCAGGATGCTAAAATACAGTTATTGGCAGGGAAGAAAGCCTAAGCAGTTACAATTTTCAGGCACCACAGCCAACAAGGTTTACCTTCTAGAGTATTAAAGCAGAGGCACACTGAAGAAGTGAGTTTATAACAAAGGAATTACTCGCACAAGGGCCAAACGACTATGGGCATGAAGAAGAACATTTTAAGTACAAAAAGTAACTCCAGGTTGGATGGAGGGAAGCATTTCTTTAATCAGGATCGAGTCTTTTCAAGAAGGCCTCCTGAACTAGGAAATATGCCCTACCAGTGCCTTCTCTGGCTTAAATTTGTTAATTCCATGACTTTTTCTTTCTTGGGGGAGAAGCCATGCATCATCTTGTATAGGACAGCCCAGCCAGCTTCCCTCACTCCTGCTCGTCTACCTTGGCCTCCCAAGATTCTCTGCTAAGGCGTGAGCTAAAGACTGCTCCCAAGAATGAGAAATAGCAGCTTCCATTATTACCTCGTCAGCTGCCCCTCCTTTGCACTCATCTCAAATCTCAAAGCTGTACCACAGAATTAAAAACATAGCTCGAGGCACTGAATGGAGATTTATGAGGAAGCACAGATATTAACTCTTACTCTAAACGCAGGGCGTGTGCTTGTAAGTAACTGGTGAACAAACACAGGGGAGGCCCGGGGGGGAGTGGGAGCAGTTCAGAACAGCACAGCCTATTTTCTTCCTGTCTCCTTTTTCCTACCTTACACCTTTCATTGTTGAAAGGTAGATCTTCTAGACCCATGAAATGTTAGTCCCTTGCTTATTTAATCTGGACAAAAGCAGGGGCAGAGTTGGCATCGCGGTGGGTATTCAAGTCTCCCTTGCTCATTGAATGACCTCAGATGAAATATTTTCCATGACAAGAGCCCAAAAGACGCTGGCACAGAGTCAGACAATGAGATTTGCAGAATGTGTTTACATTCTCTCAGTGTCCCTAGGCTGTTCCAAGCCCATGGGCAGGTGCTGT